CAAAAGTGGTTTTTATAAAATAATTATTCGGGAACCTTTAAAATATGCTCAGAGATAAAAACAGGGTTTAAAATATTGAAAACCACAGAGTTGGTTCGGGCGCCAAAGACCGAACGCCGAAAACCGAACGTCGAAAGCCGAACGCCGAAAGCCGAAAGCCGAGCGCCGACTTAGGTGGTTTTGGTTTTGAGCAAGGACCAGGGATTTTTAACAATAAAAGAAGTCATCAAAAATGTTTGTTTTGATGCACAAAAAAATGTTTTATGGTTTGTAAAAATTGTTTTGACTTTTTGAGAACCGAGACTTGAATAAATTGTCGGTTTTGATCACAAAAGACCGACTCGACTAAGTCTTCAATTCTTGATCTTGTCCTTGAGTCTTTTAGGTCTTGTTCCAAGCCATTCTTCACGCCTTGAGTTATTCAACGAAACTCTTCATATCCACGGCGGTTTGGCAATTATCAAAACCTGTCAGAAATGAACACGACTTTAGTTTAACGTACAAAGTGTGTTCCAACAATGGATTCCATGTACACCAACAAAGTATGGACTTTGGTTGATGCACCCAAAGGGATCAAACCCATTGGGTGCAAATGAGTCTTCAAAAAGAAGACTGACATGGATGGTAAGGTGCAAACCTTCAAGGCACGATTGGTAGCAAAAGGATATCGTCAAATACATGGTATCGACTATGACGAAACTTTTTCTCCAGTTATCATGATTAAATCAATTGGGATCTTACTTGCTACTGCAGCATACCATGATTACGAAATCTGGCAGATGGACGTTAAAACGGCTTTCCTTAATGGAAACCTCCTTGAGGATGTCTTTATAACACAACCTGAAGGGTTTTGCGCTCCTGAAGAATCTACCAAGTTATGCAAGTTGCAGCGATCAATCTACGGATTGAAGCAAGCCTCACGGAGTTAGAACATCCGCTTTCACGAAACTATCATCGGTTTTGGTTTTAAAAGAAATTCGGATGAATCTTGTGTATACAAGAAGGTCAGTGGGAGTGCTGTAGTCTTCCTTGCTCTGTATGTTGATGACATACTGCTCATAGGAAATGATATTCCTACTTTAACCACCGTCAAAACGTGGTTGAGTAAGAGTTTCTCTATGAAGGACTTGGGAGATGCCAGTTATGCACTTGGCATAAGGATCTATAGGGATAGATCAAGGAAGCTGTTAGGTCTCAGTCAAAGTACATACATAGACAAGGTCCTCGCTAGATCCAGCATGTCTGAGTCGAAACGAGGAAGTTTGCCTATGGTCCAAGGCACGAGTCTTTCCAAGACTCAGGGTGCTTCCACTCCGGAGGAAGTAGAACGCATGAGAAATGTTCCTTATGCGTCGGCCATTGGATCCATCATGTATGCGATGGTATGTACGAGACCTGATGTCGCCTTTGCTCTGAGTGTCACGAGTAGATAC